ATATATATATATATATATATATATATATACTTTCCCCCGTCTGGAATTGTTTGTCATGTTGCGTTTATTGAAAGTCAATTTAACTAATTTTCAAGAGTAAATTAGATTACATTAATTCGATATTTAAAAAAAATAGATATTCTAAAACTTATGAAAAGGACTATAAATTACAATTTTTGCATATTAATATGATGAAAAAATACTTCTTAAAATGTTAGTTAAAATTTTTATAGTTTGATACTAAAAATAGAAATCATGACAAACAATATCGGACGGAGGGAATATTAGATATGGAATCTCCTTTTACTTTTTCATATGTATATAACTTTTTTATATTTTAAATTATTTAGTGAAATTTCTGACTCAAATACTATGATCGATGATTGCATGAAAGGGAGTCGGTAAAGTAGAAATATCAATTTAATAAAGGGGGAATACAAACTAGTGTTGGTACATGTGTGGGTATGAGAAGCCAAAGAATGATTAAGAAAGCAACATTTGATGGTATTATAGGTTAGTCGATATTTTCATTAAGTGAAATAAAAATATTATTGTCGTATAGTTAAAAAAAAATTTGATGTATAACCTTTTTCCTTCTATAGAGAGGTTGCCCGTTGTGAATCTCACCAAGATATTTATATGATTTTAACGGTAAAAATATAAAGAAGTTATAATGATCTAATATATATTATAGATAAAAAAAAATTATTTATATATAATATTATATAACTTTTAGTCTAAATTTGAACTGGGTGGCTCCGCTATTATGGAAGACAACATCAAATAATAGTATGGTCCAAACACTAATATGACTATAATAATAATAATAATTAATAATAATAATAATATAATATTATTATTATTATTATTATCTTTTCCTGTGATTTTCTATTTTATCATTTTCTGCGTCAACAGTTCTACACTAATTTAAGTATCATAATATTTGAAATTGGTCTGACGTATAATATCTTCAATTGCTTCCAGCTATAGTTGACCTGCTTTATTCCCCAAAATATCAGTTTAACTTTTTTTCCACTTAAAAAAAAACGAATTTATTTATTTTTAAGATACTTTGAGGAATATTAACAAATGAAAATCACTATGTGACAAAAACTAATTTGAATCGAAATAGAAACCATAAATGAGATCAAAATTATAGCCTAATGTTTGTAAATGCTCCAAGTGTAAGCTAGCTAGTTTCAATACATCGTTTTTTCAACACATCTAATAAAATTAGAATAATATATAGAATAGAATAGTTTTTAATCTCGTTAAATGTCGTTTCCTTTTCATATTTCCTTTATTTAGTATTTTCAAGCTTACTTTTCGTTGATGAATAAAAAAGAAATTTACATAAATAAGAATATGTTCTAACGAGTGACAACTCTATCGCTGATAATTTTATGATTGAATAAAAGATCACGAGGATAGTACTTTAATTTCATGTTTCATAATTACCGTTTAAAATTATGAAATTGTTTTTAAAATGTATAATTTATACAATTATCATCAACAGTTGTGTTAAGATGAATAAAAATATTTCTTCCTTAGAACACGTTTTGATTGACTTAAAAGTTCGCCAACCTTGTTTTTAAGTCATTAATAGCTTTTGAAAGTGTTTGACAACGTTAAATAAAATAAAAAAAATTAAAAGTAGGTCCCCTCTACTTCTTTATTTATTTAAAAGTCCTTTAAATTTGACTTTTCTTTTTACTTGAAAGCTACTTTTTCAAATCAATTCAAATGGGCTCTTACTGAGAGGTCTTATTGATTTTTCATTACGTAACACGATATCAAACTAGCTGAGATTCTGATATAAATATCTAACACTAAATGAGAAGAAAAAAAAGAGAGGTATAAATCATATAGTTAAATCAAATTTGTTTAGGAATGTGGAACATTTATACTTTGTTTGGATCATTGTTACCCATTGTTTCATAATGTATTGTATTGTACTCTATTGTATGGTAGATATAATGTTTGGTTAGACTGTATTGTTTGTTGTTGTTTAATAACATTTTAATTGTTTGGTTTGATCGTATCGTACTGTATTGTAATTTATAAATTTACTAAAATATCCTAATTATTCTAGGATAGGAGGTTTGACTAGATTTAAATAATTAAGATAAAGGGTGAAATAATATTTTGAAATATTACGTAAATATATTATTGGAAAAAGAAATTAAGTAACAATGGGTACACACCAAATTGGTTGTTCCATAAAATAGGAATTTTCATTGTTTTTAACAACGAAATTTTACAATACAATATAATACATTTTAAGTAACAATTAAAACAAACATTGTAAGTATAGTAACGATACAATACAATACAATAAAAAACAATGATCCAAACATAGTATAAGAGTTTGATCACCACATTAGCGAGTGATTTACATTTCAATGTAAATTTCAGGCACGACTTTATATATAATCAGACTTTAATAAAAATATATATTAGACACCACATTTTTTTTTTTAGAAAAAAGGACATTAGTGATGATTTCATTGTGGGCATCAAATTATTTAAAGATAAAGAGTACATGGTTGGCATTGGGTTGTCTTAGCTACTCGTGAGTGGTGGCCCCCTACTCATCAGTTAAATAAAAATATGTTAAAATTGCACTATCGAGCAGACAGGTTTCGAATGGGAACGATTCTTTGGTTGGGTCATTCCTCTAACGTTGCGAAAATACGAGAACACAATGATTTAATGAGATTTTATTACGTTTAATCTTCGTTATAAAGTAAAAAGAATATTTCACTATGAAAGTATAGAACTGTATATAATATTTCGAATTTTCAACTGTCACATTTTTATGTAGATCTCTAATAGCTTCAAATTTACAATTAATAGTTTCAAATTCTTAATAAAATTTTTAGCTTCGCTATTGTTGATTTTTTCTTATAATTCGACGATATATTTGATGCAATCAAAAATTGAAACGTGGCATTATTGGTGCTTGATGAAGTCTGAAAATTCATGGACTTGTGTCTTTTCAATTGGGTGAGGTACGATTCCTATTGCAGTGGTGGGGATGGGTTTGTTTGGCCCAACAACCCAATTAAAACATTTGGGCCCATTTGATGTACTTCGTAATTTGTACATGTGAATTCTCATGGATAATTGCAAAATATAGCTAGATTTTATGATTTTTTTGAAATGTATTACAATTTTTTTTAAAAAAAATAAATGTAGCAAACTATGTGTATGCACAAAACCTAATCCTAATTGAAATCGAGTGGATAAATGTGGGGTGGGGAGGTTAATTGTATGTGTATAAATGTGTTTTCAAAACAGAAATTGGATGTATGTAGTTATGTATGATAAATTATGATAAATCATATGTATATGTTATGTATTCCTAAGTTATATGAGCACAATATTGGCCAACTGAAAAATCGATGAACAAGTAAGGACGGGGTAAATAATGACGGGATATAAACGCCGATGAGCAAGTGAGGTTAGGATGGACAATAACGATATAAATTTTTTAGATACGTGCATATACATATATATATATATATATATATATATATTATATTTGCAATTGTTTAGAAGTACCAATACAAAGAGTAATAAGTGAATAAAATACGTTACATTACTAATTCTAAAGCTTGCACTATATTACAGGTCGGACCCACTAGTCACTTATCATTTTTAATTTCTTTTGTTAATTGAAATAAAGGAAGAGATTACCAAAAATTAAAAAAAGAAGATTAATAGAGATTGTTGAATTGGGTAGGGGTGTGCATCGGTCGGTTCGGTTCGATTTTATGTGTTATCAATTTCGTTTATCGGTTTTCGATTTTTAAATATGCTAAACCAATAACAAACCAATAAGATATTCTTTATCGATCTTTTATTATTATCAATTTAGTTTTCGGTTTACCTTTACCCAATAAAAATTTCCGTAAAATATTATATCTCTTTTCATTTCTCTAAATGTTTTGATATGGTGAAACAAGAGAGATAATGAGAAATGCATCAATAAGAGAAAATATAATATGAATGTTATAATTACATGTTA